GGGGGGGGGGTCATGTGAGATGACCGTCTCCGATCAACTACTGCTGCCAACCTGTGGATAACCTGGAAACCCTGAGCCTCCGCTAAGTGTGAGTAAAGGGGCTGTAATCGGTTTGTAATGGTAGTGCCTCCACCCAACTGGGCCTTGTGGTGTACAAGTGGGACCGCAGATGAGATAACCTTGTCCCCAGGTGTATTTACTTACATAAATCATCTTGCAGAAGTAAGCAGATCGAGAGTCCATTGGTGTCTTTTCAACATTTATTGTAGAACTTGGAATAGAAAATGTGGATAGATATGCTGGAATACCCCAAAATGCTGATAATAGAATAATATCACTTCTTACAAGGCATGCAGATCCTAGTGGAAGGTCCCTCTTCTCCCTCTCAATAGGCCAGAAGTGTCTCCATTTCCACAGAGGTTCCAGTGTATACTCTGCTTCAGGATAAGCTGTAGCCTAGACCAGTGGAGGTTCCTGTGGTGACTCCATTGTCCCCATGACCTCTGTTAACATGTGTAACGAGCCCCTGCTCGCTCGGTTCCACTCTCCCGGCACTCCTCTGCTACTAATGGATCAGACGTCAGACCGCAACGTCTGATTCTTCGATCGTCCGATAATCCGGGATTCGAACTACAGCTATGTGCCGTTCGAATCCAGCTCAGAACAAACACCAGGCAGGCTGTATGTAAGTTCCAACAGGGATCTGCTTTATTGAAGACTAGCTCAGTATATATACAGTCCAAGAAGTCTAAACACATAACGCAATCAAACATGAACAGCATGCAAACATCCACTCCCCCTCCCCGATGCCTTAATGAATGAATAGGGAGGCAGGAGACACATGTGATGGGATTATCTCCTGAGTGTATCATAGTGTGATTTACTCATCTACACCTGGAGTCAGCTACTCCTAGAATCAGCCATCCTAATCCCATCATTAACACAATACAACAAAAGGACCAATAAACTGTAACAGTTCAATGTCCAGAATTATCCCCCTTCAGTGCTCCTGGAGTCACAGCCTGTACCTATAATACACACAGGGCCATCCAAATGTAATGCCAGGGAACATGTACAGTACATCCCCCCATACATAAACCTGGTAGAATGGTTCATTGTAACCCCAAGAAGTCCGAGGGGGGTCTCCATAGTTCTGGGTC